CGCCGGACCCCCCCCCCAGCGCTGAGCCCCGCGCTGCCCCCTGCCGAGCGCCGCCGGAACCCCCACCCCAGAGCGCCTCGCGCCGGAGCCCGCCTCCCGGCCGTGCCGAGAGCCACCGGACCCCCAGCGCCGAGCCCCGCGTTGCCCCCCCCACCCCCAGCGCCGCCGGAACCAGCGCCGCCGGAGCATGCCGAGCGCCCACCCCGCAGAATGCCGCGCCGCGCTCCTCCCTCCCGCCCCTTACCAGGTGCCGCCCCAAGCATGTGCTTGGGTGCCTGGAGCCGGCCCTGCCCCCAACTGGCCCCCCCTGTATCCCCCTATTGCTCCACGAGCTTTCGGGACTATGTCCTCTGTGTCCTCCCATATGTCTCCCGACTGTTCTTTGTACCCCCTGTCCTCCCTGATTGGTGTGCCCCCATACCCCTGAATACCCTGTCCCCTCAGACTACACCTCCCAACAGCTCTCTTTTTGCCCCTGTGCCACTGCTGTGGTGGTGTCTGCCTTAGTGTGCAGAGAGTCTGCCCCGGGGATTGGTCTGAGCCTATGCTGATGCCAACTCTGAACCCTAATGATGAATGTGGACTCTCCCTACTGATCTCTCTGCAGGCAGGGTAGGGGTGGGAGACTGGCAAAGAGCAGGAGCCAGAGAGACCTGGCGGAGGGGGGAGAGAAGCGAGAGGCAGGGACAGCAGGATACCTCCCCCTCAGTGACCTTGGACATGCCAATTACAGATAATGAAGGGCACGTGCTGGGCAAAGGGCAGGAGCTTCCCTTGATCTGTGCACACACAACCCTGGGCTGTCTGCGTGGGCACCCTGAATTCTCCCCCATCAGTAAATACAGCCCTCTTTATCCCCATCCCTCCCCGGGCAAGGATGCCCCCCTCTCCTCCATCCAGCAGGGAGGCACCATGGACCCGAGCCTAGGGCTCTGGCTTTGTCTCAGTGGGTTGCGAGAGCCATGTCCATCATGCTCCAGGGAGCCGGCGCAGCTGTAAGGGGAAGTCCAGCCTTGTGCCGAGCGTTGGCAGCTCTTGGCACATGGGGAAGGGGATGCTGCTGCGGCACAGTGCTGCACCAAGGGGCCCCTCAGCTCCCCCTCAAAGCCATCTCTCTTGCTGGGCAACATGGCCCAATCCTGGGGGTCCTGGTGCCCCTACAGTGTGGGAGGCAGCACTACAGGAAGAGGTGGGAGGAGCCAGAAACCTGGTGGCTGAATGTTCCTGTTAGTCCAGATCTCTGGCTCTGGCACTGGGGCAGGTGCCCCTTCTTGAGCTTTTTGGAATAGCCACATGGGCTGAGAACTGCAGCCTGGTTCCGAGCTGGGGCCCTGGCAGCCAGCCCGGGGGCTCCTCTCCCTTCTGGGGCGCCTGGTGGATCCCCCTCCTATGCCTCAAGATGAGTGTCCAAGCCAACACTGCAGCCTGAGGCCTCAGCCGGCACAGACATACACTGCTAAAACTTCTGGAATGGGAGCCCAGAGTGGGGGGCAGAGTGTCCTCCAGGCCTCCCCCATCTGGAGCAGGTCCGGGGGGAGGGGCTCATGCCCTCAGAGACTAAAGGGGAAAGCCTGGACTTTCCCCAACAAGTCCGAAGCAGTCTCCCCGGGAGCCTGCATCCCTGGGCCCAAGACATGCCTGGCTCTGGGGTTACTCTGTGGTGCCAGCAGGTGTCCCTGGGTCTGGGGCACAGCCCTGTGCACTGAGGCTGGCATTGGGCAGGGAGGCGTAGCAGGGTGGGTGGGGGGAGAGAGCCTGCAGCCCTGGGCGCACTCCCAGCCTGGGGGCAGCAGAGGGAGACCCTGCAAGTCAGCCCCAGAGCTGCTCAGGGAGGGGCTGCCGCTGCGCAAGTGTGGCTGGGGTACCAGCTGGTCTGTGCCATCCTCTCCCCGTCTGGGCCATAGGGGCGCTGCTGGGGGTCAGCTGCAGGTTCAGCTCTGCCTCACAGAAGGGTGCCCGAGCTCTGACTGCCAGTGCAGCCCTCGGGTGGTAATCTGCCCTGTGACAGGAACATTGCCCTGGGGCAGTGTCCATCGACCTTTCCTGGCAGGGAGCCATGCTGTGCCCCGGACACATGGCTCTGTGCCAGGCGCCGAGCCCAGCCCCTCTTGCTGGGGGGGTTCTAGTGCCATGGCTGGCCTGATCCGGCCCTGTCTCGCCCTGCAGGACGGCCTGAAGCAGACGCCCCTCCACGCCTTCCACCGGCAGCAGGGTGGTAAGATGGTGAACTTCGCTGGCTGGAGCATGCCTGTGCAGTACGCGCTGAGCCACCTGGAGTCCCACCTGCACACACGCCAGCACTGCTCCCTCTTTGATGTCTCCCACATGCTGCAGGTAGCATCGTGCACCCCAGCCGCTCCCAGCCAAGGGTCCCCTGTGCTCACAGCCTGGCCACATGCAGGCCAGGAAGCTGTATGCCCTGTTTGCTGCCCACCCGTTCACCTTGTAGCCAAGCCCTAAGACACCCCGAGATGAGGAAACTGAGGCCCAGGCAGTTCCAGCCAGCACTGCCCAGAGTCAGATCCAAGGGGAGTGACTGGAGCTGTGGCCCTCCTGAAACAGGGCAGGGACTCAGCCAGGCTGCACAGTGAGTTAGGGCAGAGCAGAGAATGGAACCCAGGAATCCTAGCTCACTCGCCGCCCCACTTGCTTCGCTTGCTTAAAAATATCTTAATACACAAGTACCCGACCCTGCCACCAGGGGACAGGGTGGGACTCTCTGCAATGGCGGGTGGGCTGGACTGGTGCAGGGCTCTCTGCAATGGTGGGGGGGCTGGACTGGCGCAGGGCTCTCTGTGACGCTAGAGGACGGGGAGTGGGGGGAGGGCCCGGCGCAGAGCTCTCTGTGATGTGGGGAGGGGCAGGGTTGGGGCTCTCTCTGACGGGGGAGGGCCAGGGCCAGCACTGGGCTCTCTGCGATGCGATGGGCCGGGGGTGAACTCTCTGCAATGCGGGGGGCTGGGCTGCCGCAGGACTCCCTGCGATGGGGGTGGAGGGGGCTGGGCTGGCGCAGAGCTCTCTGTAATGGGGGCAGGGGGGAAGGGCCAGCGTGCGGCTCTCTGCAATGGGGTGGGGGCACAGGGCTCTCTGTGATGGGGGTGGGGAGTCTGGGCTAGCGTGGGGCTCTCTGCGATGGGGGAGGGGCGTAGGGCCAGTGCAGGGCTCTCTGTGATGGGGGTGCAGGGCTGGCATGGGGCTCTCTGCAATGGGGGAGGGGGGCTGAGCCAGCGCGGGGCTCCCTGTGGTGGGGGGCAGGGCTGGCAGGGGGGCTCTCTGCGATGGGCAGCGCAGGGCTCTCTGCTACAGGGGGGCGGGTAGGGACGGCGGGGGGCTCTCTGCAATGGGGGCTGGGCATGTCTTGATGGCTATGGGGCAGGGCTGGTAAGCTGGTCTCAAGCTGTGCCCATGCTGCAGATGCCTGCAGCTGGCCCATGCCATCTGACGTGGGTCATGGGACTGGCACGAGGGGCTGTTAAATTGCCCTGTAGAAGTTCAGGTTTAGGCTAGAGCCAGGATCTAGGATCCTGTGAGGTGGGAGGGTCCCAGAGCTGGGCTGCAGCTGGAGCCATAACGTCTACACGGCAATGAAACTGCCCTGCAGCCTGAGCCAGCTGCCTGGCCAGCCAGCGGAGACAGACCCTCAGCAATGTCTCTTCCCCAGACCAAGGTGTTTGGCCGGGACCGGGTGAAGTTCATGGAGAGCCTGGTGGTTGGGGACATCGCGGAGCTGAAGCCGGACCAGGTATGTGGGGTGTGTGACGTCCTCCCCCACGCATGGCCAGGAGTCTTTATAGTGCCCTGGAGACAACAGCAGTGGGTCCTAGGGCAGCCTGGGCATGGGCAGAGCCACCATTGGGGGGAGCCCTGGCTCTAGACCCCCTCTGCCCCGCTCTGTGTGCAGCAGCAGCCTGGCAGCTCCTGCCATGTGCCCGGTGGGGCGCTCAGCTTCCTGACAAGTGGGGGGAGGCGCTCACCTAGGAGCCGGTGTGTCGATCTGGGCCCAGCCAGCCCTGGTGGCTCTGTGACTCCAACACCTTCTGTGTCCCAGGGAGCAAATTGCTTCTCCCCTCTGGGGTAGTGACGCCATGTGGATAGGTCCCAAGTCAGATGGTTCATAACAAGTGCAGAAAATTGCCCCATTCATCACAGGAGATGTGGCCACCTCAGCTGCCCACCCGTCCTGCTCAGGCCACGGGATCAGAGAGCTGGGGGATCCCATAGCACACATCCACTACAAAATCAACCCCATCCTCGGTTCAGTGAGAGAGAGACCCGGGGCTGGGCTAGAAGGGGCCTGCAGTCAGGAGCGAGGGGCACTGGCAGATGGGGAGATCCCAGTGCTGGGCTCGCAGGGGCTGCGGTCAGGAGTGAGGGGCACCGGCAGATAGGGGAGCCCAGGGCTGGGCTTGCAGGGGTCTCTCACTGAAGGGCCATTAGGAGACGCTGCATGGCATGCTGGTGATCCGTGGCCTTGCCTGGAGTTTCTGAGGTGGGGATGGGCAGGTGGGTGCAGGTCTGCTCTGTGGCCTGTGGCTGCCCAGGCTCAGCATGGCCCCGCTTGCAGGGCACCCTGTCTCTCTTCACTAACGAGGAGGGAGGCATCCTCGACGACCTGATTGTGACCAGCACGTCGGAGCAGCACCTCTACGTGGTGTCCAACGCAGGCTGCAGGGAGAAGGACTGGGCCCTGATGCAGGTATATGTGCAGCTGGGCACCCCCTGCCTGGACCCCACAGTGACCCCGAGAATGGGATCATTGCTGGGCACCTGTTCTCTCCCCGCTATGCTGGTGCTGCCCTGTTGGTGCCCATCCCCATGGGGCTTCAGCACTGGCTACCAGGGGGCTCCCTGAATGGCAGAAGCAGAAGAATCCATCCCCTGTGCAGACTGGAGGCAGGTCCGATGCTGGTCCATGGTCCAGCTGCCGACCTGGCCCTCAGGAGCTGGGCTCTGTCCCTACTCTGCTGGCCCCATTCCCACCTGCGCTTGTCTCCCTTCCAGGGCCGAGCAGAGGATCTGCGGGCTGCAGGTGGCGACGTGCACCTGGAGGTCTCTGAAAACGCGCTGCTAGCTCTGCAAGGTAATGGGCCGCCCACCCCGGGCTGCCAGCATGTCCCTGCATCAGGCCCTGCACTGACAGCCCCTTCCCCATTGGGGTCACCCTGGTTCAGAATTCCTGCCACCCCCCAAGCTGATGGTGCTGGCTCTCCTGCCAGGCTGGCCAAGCCAAGGTAGGACTCCCCAAGTGCATGGGAACGGGGCAGGACACCCTATAGAGAGAAGCTGATGGCACACACCCCTCGGCCCTGCTGTGCTCCCCCCCATCCCCCGGTGCAGGGGGCAGTTGGTAAACACAGGAAGCACTGCCCTGGTACTGGGGGTTGCCAGGTGAGGGTCAAGGCCCATCATTCCTGGGCAGAGCTGTCCCAGAGGTGGGGGTGGGTCAGAAATGCTGACTCACTCAATCTCTTGCAGGCTGATGAATCTTGGAACGAAACCTGCCTGATGGGGGTCGGGCAGCCCTGTGGCTCAGTGCATGGCAGCCTGCCAGGCAGGCAGGCCCTGGCAGATTGGCTGTGTGGGGCAGCGTTGAGAGATCAGTGGGGGGCTGGCAGGAAATGCCCCGGGCTCTCTGCTCATTGGCCCATGGTGGGGACTCCATTTGTTCTGAGTCAGACATACTGAAACTTCCCGCCGGCTCCACCCCAGGTCCTTCATGCGCTGCCAGGGTGGTGTGATGGGTTGGATCACAGAAAACCCCTTAGGAACTGCCAACTGATGAACTGAGACTACTTCTCTAAGTCTGTTTTCCCTGGCAGCTTGGGACTTCAGTGCCCTGCCTGGTTTGAGCCAGACATGCTAGCCAGCTGCAAACCCAGACCCAGGTCTGAACCATGTTCCCTAACTGCTGTAAGCTTAACTGAAAGCAGCTTAAGAAGTGTTCCTGTCTCTAACACTCAGATGCCCAGCTCCCAATGGGGTCCAAACCCCAAATAAATCTGTTTTACCCTGTATAAAGCTTATACAGGATAAACTCATAAATTGTTTGCCCTCTATAACACTGATAGAGAGATATGAACAGCTGTCCCCCCCGCCCCAGGCATTAATACATATGCTGGGTTAATTAATAAGTAAAAAGTGATTGTATTAAATACAAAATGTAGGATTTAAGTGGTTCTAAGTAATAGCAGACAGAACAAAGTGAATTACCAAGCAAAATAAAATAAAACACTCAAGTTTAAACCTAATACAGTAAGAAGCTGAATACAGATAAAATCTCACCAATAAGCCTCTTTTATAGACTAGCCTCCTTCTAGTCTGGGTCCAGCAATCACTCACACCCCCTGTAGTTACTGTCCCTTGTCCCAGTTTCTTTCAGGTATCCTTTGGGGTGGAGAGGCTATCTCTTGAGCCAGCTGAAGACCAAATGGAAGGGTCTCTCAGGGGTTTAAATAGACTTTCTCTTGTGGGTGGACACACCTCCCTCCCCCACCCGTAGAATCCAGCAACAAAATGGAGTTTTGGAGTCACATGTCCATGCATGACTGAGTTCCTTACCAGCCAAGCCACAATTTCTGGGAAAGCTCAGCTGTGGATTGGCATCTCCAAGTTCATTGTTGGCTTAAGTGTTTCTTGATTGGGCACTTACTTGAGAATAGTCCTTTCTCAGGAAGCTGACCAACTGCTTCACTGGGGCTACTTAAGATTAAACAAGTACAAAGCCAGTATTTGTAACTTCGAATACAAAAATGATACATGCATACAAATAGGATTAATAGATTCAGTAGATCATGACCTTTACAGAGATATGTTACATGGCATATGTAGCATAAAACATATTCCAGTTATGTCATATATACTTTCATAAGCATATTCCCATAAAGCATTATGGGGTGCAACATCACAGGTAGGCATTGCCTGCTCCATGCTCCACCTGCCCCTCTCCCCCAGATGCTGAGGCTTTCGCTGAGCTCCTCCTATGCTCTCTGTGCCCAGGTCCCTCGGCGGTGCAGGTGCTGCAGACAGGCGTGTCGGACAACCTGGCCAAGCTGCCCTTCATGAGTAGTGCGGTGATGGGTGTGTTTGGGGTGCCAGGCTGTAGGGTGACGCGCTGCGGCTACACCGGAGAGGATGGTGTGGAGGTACCGTGCTGCCGGGCCCGGGTGGGGGAGGGCGGAGGTACCAAAACAGGAGCAGCCCTGGCGGGGCAGGGAGGGGGCGATGTGTCTCGTGGGTGGCACAGTGCTGGCTCAGGCACTGCCTGGTGGGATGCGGGAAGCTGGAACTTACCATGCCTGCCATTGCTTGGCTCAGATCTCGGTGCCCATGGGGCGCACGGTGGAGCTGGTGGAGCTGCTACTCAGGGACCCACAAGTGCAGTTGGCAGGGCTGGCGGCCAGGGACAGCTTGCGCCTGGAGGCGGGGCTCTGTCTCTATGGCAACGACATTGATGAGATGACCACGCCTGTGGAGGCGGCTCTGGTGTGGACACTGGGTAGGAAGGGGCAAGGAGCAGGGCTGGCATGGTGGGGCCTGGGCACCTTAGCAACAGCAGTGAGGAGCACTGCGCACACACCTTGGAGGGGTGGGTGAGCCTGGCATGGGGACTGGAGGCTGGTACAGGGGTGCCAGCTGCCTTGGGGAATGGAGACATGGGGACAGTGAGAGCCCTTGTGGCTGGGGGGGATGGGTTGTGGGGCACTTGGTGTGTGGGGGCCTTGGCTGGGCCCCCAGAGTGCCGGGGCATGGGGGGTTGACCAGGCACCCTGAGGGCCGGGGGTGGAGGTGGGACAGGGTTTGGAGCACTGGTGGTGGGGGGGAGGGGTGCCCCACCCCCTAACTTGCCCTGTCTTGCTGCCTGCAGGGAAGCGGCGCCGGCTGGCTATGGATTTCCCCGGTGCCCCAGTCATTGTGCCCCAGATCAAAGGGAAGGTTAAGCGCAAGCGCGTGGGGCTGATTTCCACAGGCCCCCCCATCCGGCCACACATGCCCATCCTGAGCCCAGAGGGCAGGCCCATCGGTAGGTGGGGCGGGCAGGAGCGTGGCGCTTAGGGGGGTGCTTGGGCTTGGCTAGCCCTTCATTAGCCCACTTGCACTGGCCTCCCTTCCCCTCACTGTGCCACAGCCCAGGGGGCAGGACCCTGACCCTGGCATGCTTGACGTGGCCATATCCCTGTGTGACAGGCTCCGACCTGCAAAGCTCAAAGCTGGGCCCCACGTCAAGGAGAATGTAACAGCTGCATGTGTGGGGTCTGTCCAGCTGGGCCCCAGCAGTGGTGGGGGGCTGGCACATGTGCCCACACTAACCCACCACTTGTGCTTGCTGTGCCCAGGCGAAGTGACCAGTGGCTGCCCCTCTCCCTGCCTGAAGAAGAATGTGGCCATGGGCTATGTGGAGGGCGAGCAGAGCCGGGTGGGCACGGTGGTGGCAGTGGAGGTGCGGAAGAAGAGCTGCCCTGCCCTGGTCACCAGGATGCCCTTTGTGCCCACCCGCTACCACATGCTCAAGTGAGATGTGGCTGGCAGCCACGCCTCCCACCCACCCCAATCAATCAGCATGCGCCTCTCTTCACCACATGAGAATCCATGTCCCCAATCAGAACTCCCCACAGGACACGGGTGGCCCCACAGTGCCACCCATTCAAGCAAGGCTGGGCCCCACCGGGGCCAAAGAGCCAACGTCCAGCCATGTGCTGCACAGCCAATGCCAAGGGCCTGTGCCAAGTGCCTTCCAGCCCCATCTGAGGCCGATGCCAAACCAGGCCAGTCTGTTGGTTTTCTTGGGGGCGGTGGGCAGCCTCTGAGTGTGCCCTCAGTGTCCAGACATGCTCTGGCCTTGCTGTATGTATGCCACATGCTGCCAGTCAATGGGCTGGCAAGGTGAGAGTCCCTCTGCTGCCCTAGCCCGCCTGGGCATTCCCCCCATTTCTGTAATTGGGCTGTGATTGTCCATTAAAGACCCCCTGACTCCACTCCTGCTCTGCCGCTCGTCTTTACCCACGCTAGGCTGGGGCTGTGCAGTGCCCAGAGGGCACGGCCTGGAGAGCAGTCTCCAGCTGCCATCGCTCATGCCTGGCTTCTGAGTATTCTGGGTCCCCCACTGGCCTGAAGCCCATAACCCCCAGTGGAACCTACCAGTGGCAGAGCTGGGGAGAACAGCTCAGCCTGGGCAGCCCAGCTCAGCCCACTGGAGACCTAGCCCTTGCACTGGGGTGGCACAGCACACTCCCCCCCCCTCCATGAGAAAGGGGGAGAGAGATTTGGGCACACTGGGGCTGTGGGTGAACCAGGGTGCCTAGGGCCAGTCCTGTGCCAGCAGGGCCCAGCCACAGGCCTGTTCGAAAACAGCTGTGGGGGCATGCCCCTCCCCCCAGGCCCTCTCCCCCCAGCATGGCAGGGCATGCATCTGTGTGGGGGGAGGGATAGTTCAGTGGGTTGAGCAGTGGCCTGCTAAACCCAGGGTTTAGGGATCTGGGGGGGGAAAAAAATCTGTCTGGGGATTGGTCTTGCTTTGAGAAGAGGGTTGGACTAGATGACCTCCTGAGGTCCCTTCCAACCCTGATATTCTATGATTCTATGCTGCGTGCTCCTGCCCTTGCCCCCATCCCTGCCTGGAAGAGGGTAAGTAGTTCAAGGCAGCTGCTCCAAGTGTCTGAAGAGCAACAGCATCCACCAGCTAGGACAGCATCTCCCTGAGGAGCAGGGGTCCCCTCCTCCAGGGATAGGGTCAGAGACAGTCAGAATGAATGCAGTCCCCCCCCCCCCCCAGTAATTGAACAGCAGCATAGTTACAGCAGAGGGATTTAATCCAGCCAGCAGGTCACAGGAGGCTTCAGCCAGGGTCTGGCAGAGTGCAGAAGGACAGTAGGTGGCCCTGGGGCTAAAGGCCTGTCCTGGGATACAGGTAATGGGCTCCAAGCCCAGTTGTGCCACCATGTGCCTGCCAGGCCATTAGCCAGGTGCTGCCTCTGAGCCCTGCCCCTTCCTGGGCTTGGAGATACCCTTGCTCACTGCACGTGGGGCTGGAAGTACCTGGGTCCAGCTATTCCTACTGCCCTGAGGGGCACCCCGGCCCCTAGGCTGGGTTTGCCATGGGCATGCTGTTCCTGCTCTGATCCCAAGGGCTGGCACCTTGGCAGAGGGCACTGGCCTAGGAAGGCCTCACCTGGACCAGGCAGATGGCACGTGGGGTGCTGTGTGGAAGCTGGTAGCATTACTGCCCAGGTGCCAGTGGGCTATCACTCCAACACTGCTATGAGACACAGCGCAGGGCAAGAGCAGCCAGGTGGTGCCCCAAGGCCCCCCACACCACCAAACCCCAGGTGTGGGGGGCAGCTCAGCTCTCTGCTCCCACACTGTGTAACCAGTGGGATGGCGCTGCCATCCTGCCCTGCATCTCCCCTGTGCCCAGGAGCAGAATCCTGCCCCTCTGAGGAGCAGCTGCAGTTGCCTCAGGGGCCAGGGTCACAGGGAGCACAGGAGTTCTAGCAGCAGGGAGTAGGACCTCCCACCTTGCCCGCTGGGGCAGAAAGTGGTACAGGTGCATGAGTCTCAGTCCCTGGGGGCAGAGAGGGGGCTTGGCAGCAGGGAAGGGAGGTGTTCAGGCAATTTTCCCTGGAAGGGGCTGGGGGACAGGAAGGCTTTTGGCTCATCGGGGTGGGGGCAGCAGTGGACAAGAGTTGGGGGGAGGGGCTCAGAGCAGGGCTCAGGGGCATGTGCTCAGGGAGGATTTAAGCTGGGCACAAGGACCACTGAGGCACAGACTACACACCACCCCCCATGTACACCTGTGGCTGCTGCAGGGGTCTGTTTTGTCTGGGGCAGGCAGGGGGAAGGGCTGATGTGCTTGGGGCAGTGCAGATGCCCCCAGAAGTGACTGCAGGGGTGAGATGGGAGCTTGCCCTGCCTGAGCGGCTGTGCAGAGGCCAGCTGAGATGGGCACAGGCCAGCTGGCTGTACAGCTCCCTGCTGGCCAGGGGCTAGCCCACAGGTGACATGGCTGCGGTCTCCAACGCAGCGAAAGTGCAAAGCCAGTTTCTTTGGCTGGCAGCGCTGGGGCCCATGGGTGGAGCTGTCCCAGGTATGCCCCTGCCCACCGGCATATCCGTCCACGCCTCACTCTCGGTGTGTCTTCACAGCCTCATTGCTTGAGCTGTCCCTAAAGGAGGGTGAGAAGAGAGCAGGCGCCATAGACAGAGCTTTGGGGCAAATCTCAGACACCTGAGGCTTGGCTCCTGCAGCTCAGAGGCCTAGAGAGCAGTGGGCAGCCCGGGGTCAGAGTGGGAAAGGATGGGTGGAGTCCTCTGGCAGGCACCACACATGCACACAGATCCTGTGGGGATGGACACTACCAGTGGGCACGCCAACCCACACACCCCGCTGCAGTTGCCTGGGCACGAGAGCCACCACTGGGGTGACCCCCGCCCAGGACAGGCGTGGCAGGGCTCCCCCTGCTGACAGGGAAGGAGATGCCGGGGCTGGGCTTCTGCCCGTCTCAGAGCCCCGCATTCTGGCACTGCACAGGCCAGGACCAGCTGTTTCTGAGGTCTGGGGCTGCACTTGGAGAAGGAGCCTTATGAACTGGTGAGGTGGGGAAGGCCAGAGTCCAGGCCTGTGAGCCCCCTGCTGAGTGGCGCAAGACTGAACAGCGGGAAGCACTCACCACGTGGGGAAATATGAGGCACCAGCGGGGGTTCCTCCGTTCTGGCCACCTCTGCCTGGAAACAAGGCGAAGGAGCAGTCAGGGTGGGGCCAGGCAGGGCTCATAGCTGGGGGCAGGCAACAGGCACCTTGCTGAGGGATACTTGGGAGATGCCTAGCAGTAGCTCTACATGCCACAGCCAGGCCAGCACCTGACTTCCCCCCCCCCCCCTCGATACCAGGGAGCTGCTGGGCACAAGCCAGCCCCTTCCATGCTGCCTGGGGGAGGACCTCTGCCTGGGCAATGGCGCAGTGCTCCTGGATTCTCCTCTGGGCCGGGTGGGGGCCCACAAGCAGCCAGGGACGTGCAGGGGTGTGTGCCCTAGCCCTCGCTGCCCCCTTCCAGCCTGTAGGTGAGACAGCGTGAAGAAGAGCACCATGTCCTGCCCCTGGTGGACTCACCCACTCCCCAGGGTCACTCAGCCCCATGTGCACCAGGGCAAGGCGCACAGAGACATGGGCGCAGCATCCCCTGTCCAGATTCCACAAGGAATGGCTCTGAAGCGTGGCACTATGGGACGAACCTGTGCACAACAGGCCATTGGGAGAGGGTGGGAAGCCAATCTGAACAGGCTAGCTGCCCAGACAAGCCCAAGAGAGCCTGAGCGCTACTCCCCAGCAGTGTTATAATTCGTCCACGGTCCGTCTCCCCACCCCATGGCCAGGCCCAGCAGCAACCCCTGCCCTATGCCTTACATAGCTCGGAGCCCCAGTTCTCCCTGACAGCTGGAGCCAGGCCCACTCAGTCTGTGGGGCGGGCAGCTGCTAGGGCAGGGCCTGGCACAAGGTGCCTAGGCTGCTCTGCCCAGGTATGCTTCTAGGATCTGGGTGCCAGGGACAGGGCTGGCTCCAACCCCAGACCCCCAAAGTACTTGGGACTGCCCAGGTCAGGCAAGATCGCCACAGGCACGGTACTTTGGGCAACGGTCCATCCTCCAGGGCTCCCCATTCAGAGCTGGCCCCTCACTGGGGGGGCCAGGAACCAGAAACCAGGGGCCACTCTGGGGGCCGGGTCACACCACATTCCCCATAGCATAGCCCAGTCAGTACCTGAGCGTCAGCCCTGCCCGGGGCAGGAGGTTCAGTTCGGTCGGTACTTGGCCAGCAACCCAGCCCAGCGGGGGATTCAGTTCGGGTCAGCACCGGGACGGCAGTCTGGCCCAGGGCTGGGGGATTCGGTGTCCGGCCAAGGGTTTGGTTCAGGTCGGTACCTGGTCGGCGGCCCAGCCCGGGGGTCCGATTCGGAACCAGGGCAGCAGCAGAGCTCAACCCAGGGATTTCGGGTCGGTACCTGTCTGGCAGCCCAGCCCAAGTGTTCGGTTTGACCCGACCAGGGGGGTTGATTCAGCCCGGTTTGCTCGGTACCTGGGCGGCAGCACAGCACAGCTCGGGGCGGGTTCAGTTCATCCCGGGAGATGGGGCCCGTACCTGGGCAGCAGCACAGCCGGGCCCGCAGGGTGGGGGACTCGGGCCCGGCCCGGGGGCTCCGTTCGTCCCGGTCGGTACCTGGGCGGCAGCACAGCCCAGCCCGGGGGGTTCGGTTTGGCCCGTACCTGGACGGCAGCAGAGGCGGCTGACGCGACCTCCGTGGAGCCGCCAGGCTAGGTGGATGCCCAGCAAGCTGAGGCCCAGCCAGAGCAGCAGCAGCTGGAAGAGCGCGGCCCGCAAGTCCTGAGCCGCCCAGTCGGCCGCGAACTCCTGCCCCAGCCAGGCCAGGCCCCGCAGAGCCCGGCCCGGCGCCTCCCAGCCCAGCCACGGTGCCGCCATCGCCCTGCGCAGGCGCCAATAGAGCACTGCACTGCCTCCCCTCCTCTCTGGAATGGGAGCACCCCGTGAACCTGTCCCGAGACAGTGAGCAGAGCCGCCGCAGCCCACCCCCTCCTCCCACAGCCCACCCCACTGGCCCCGCCCCTTCCCTCACAGCCCGCGTTCCCCCCCCCGCACCTGTTCCGCCCCTCCGCTCATAACCTGGCCCCCACCTGCAGTGGCCTTGCACCTCCTCCCACACTGACCCCCCGGTCCCCCGGACCTCCCCGCTCGGCCCCGCAACTGGTCCCACTCCTCCTCCCACAACTCGCCCGCCCCTGCACTGGCCTGGCCCCGCCCCTCCCAGCTCAGCACCAGATATCACAGCGGGGGAGGGACAGTGGGAGCTGCATGATGCCAGGTGGTCCCCTTTGCCAGGATACAGTCCATAGGTGCCATTGCTGCGGGTTACCAGACTTCCCCTTCAGCTGTACACAGCCCCTAGCGCACTGCGCCAGGCCCTGGG